TGTGCCTTTCCTGGAACTCACTTGGTAGCCCAGGCTGGCCTCGAACTCACAGAGATCTGCCTGCCTCTGCCTCCCAAGTGCTGGGATTAAAGGCACAATTCTCAATTTTCTGAGAAACCACCACACAAATTTCCAAAGTGCCTGTACAAGTTTGCACTTCACCAGCAATTGAAGATTGTTCCCCTTGATCCACATCATCTGAAGCATAAGCTGTCATTTGTGTTTTTGGTTTTAGCCATTCTGACTGGTATAAGATGAATTCTGAGTAATTTTGATTTGCATTTCCCTGGTGCCTAATGATCTGAACATTTTTTTATGTCTTTCTCAGTCATTTGAGATTCATTTGTTGAATATTCTCTTTTTAGATCTGTATCCCATTTTTATTTGGATTATTTGGTTTTTGATATCTATTTAATGAATTATTTATATAATTTGGATATTAGCCCTCTGTCAGCTGTGGGATGGGTGAAGCTCTTTTCTCATTCTATAGACTGCCATTTTATTCTATTGATGGTATCCATTGCCTTGCAGAAGCTTTTAAGTTTGTGAGGTCCTACTTATTAATTATCATTCTTAGTGCATGTCTTAATGGTGTTCTGTTCAGGAAGTTGTATCCTGTGCCAATGCATTCAAGGCTATATCCCAATTTTGCTTCTGTTAGGTTCAGTATATCTGGTTATGTTTGAGGTCTTTTATTCACTTGGACTTGAATTTTGTACAGGGTGATCGATATGGATCTATATGCATTCTTCTGTATGCTGACATCAACTTAGACTACCACCATTTGTTGAAGATGCTTTCTTTTTTCATTGTACATTTCTGGCTTCATTATTTAAAAGCAAAACAAAATAAAACAGGTGTCCATATGTTATGTGGATTTATGTTTGGGTCTTATATTTGGTTACATTGATCAATGTGTCTGTTTTTATGCCAATATCATGCAGTTTTTATTACAATATCTCTCTAGTTGAGTTGAAATCAAGAATGGTGATACATCTGGAAGATCTTTCATTGTACAGGATTATTTTAGATATCCTGTTTTTTTCATATGAAGTTGAGTATGTTGTTATTTCAAGGTCTGTAAAGAATTGTGTTGGAATTTTGATGGGAATTACATTGAATCCATGGGCTGATTTTTGTAAGATGGCTATTTCTACTATGTTAATCCTCCCAATCCATGAGCATGGGAGATCTTTTCATCTATTGATATCTCTTTCAATTGTTTTCTTCAAAGACTTGACTTTCTTGTCATACAGGTCTTTCATTTGCTTGGTAAGAGTTACTCCAATTTATTACACATTATTAGTGGCTATTGTGAAGGGTCCTTTGTCCTAAATTCTTTCTCAGCCCATTTGTAATTTCTATACAGGAGGGTTACTGATTTTTTTAGCTAATTTTGTATCCAGCCACTTTTGTGAAGGTGTTAATCAGGATTTAGGAAATTCCTGGTAAAATTTTTGGGTATTTTATGTATACTGTCATAGAATCTGGAAATAGTGATACTTTGAGTTCTTACTTTTTCTATTTT